GTGATAAAAACATTTTGGAGACTGGAAAGCGGTCCCTAGATTTAATGTCCTTGCACAAAGAACTGAAAGAGCGCTCTGATAGCTCTGCTGCAGCCCACGTAACCCCGGCCGCTCCAGGAGGAGGAGGAGGAAGCACTCCTGGTGCTTGTAAGCCAAGCAAACCACCCCTGCTGCCTGCCAGAGTAGATGTTCACGGTGTCAATAACCAAGTAGCTGACTCAGGCTTAGGTATGACGTCTCATTCCAGGGAGCATAATTGCCGTTTTGAGAAACAAGAACTGAAAATAAGCGCAGGTGTTGAGGAGCGTGCGGAGTGTGACTTCTTTGAGCCTTCTGTTTTCTCTTCCTCCCTGTTAAGTTCTTCCCAGCCCTACGCTTCCTCTCATTCTCTGCCCTCTGACACCCCAAGTCGTAGAGCAGAGTCTCCGAAAAAGCCAACAGCCGAGGGCTTCGCAGATAAAGCAGGAAATTCTGGCAAGAAGAAGCTTCTTCAGGCATGGGTTTCACCCTCTGAAACATATCCTAACCAAACTCAGCAGAGTGGTGAAACCGTGTCTCCTAAGCACAGGTGAGAGAATATGGGAAATACACAGAAAGTGTCTTAGTGCTGATGTGAGCCTTGCTTTTTCTTCTGTGAGCACAGATGCGTCTCTCCAACTGCAGGAATTTACTGCGCTTTGCAGTGACATGGCATCGTACAGCCTTAACTGCCTCCGTCCCGTGGAATTGTCAGGGCCTGGGTCCTGTCACGCCAGTGTAGGGTCATTGCTGGCACCAGATGAATCTGTATAGCTATTCGGGACACCCAGAGCGCTGGAGGGGACCTGCCGTTCATCACAATGCTACCTCTTAGGCGAAATGTTAGGGAAACTTGGTCACAGTTTAAGAAATAGGGTCATTTCATCAAATTGGGGAAATGGACCGCAATTCATACATTTCTCAGAAACAGGAGAATGGTCACAGGAAGCCTGATAAACTGGGATGCTTCCTTTCCTGGCAGAACTGGGCTCCTGAGCCTCAAAGTGAATCGCAGCAAGCGATGCAGCTAAAGCCTCTCTCTCCCAAGAACGCGCGGCTGCTTCCCGGAGCTGTCTGCAGCTCCTCCTGCCTGCTGGGGTACTGTTGTCCCAGGAACAGTGCCGCCGACCTGTCAGCCCTCAGTACTTTATCTGTAGAACTCCGTCTAGGGTCTAGGATGCCTCTGGGCCAGCATTTGCTGAGATACAAGTAAAATTATTTTCCTGTATTAAAATTGGCGATATAAATCCTGCTCGAGCAAATGAAGATAGCACTTTTTGGCAGCTTATGGCATAAGTTCAGCTTGGAAAAGGCGTAATACATGCTTGTCCCAGGGTAGTAGAAGTATTTGATATGTTGCAAGAACCACAAATATGTTCTCGTTAGGAAAGTCAGGCTCAAATACTAGTGCGTGAGAGATCAGAGTAACTGCTGCTGTGTACTGCCTTCTCATGTAGACCAACCTGGCTTTTCTTTTGTGACATACTGTTCGGGATGTATTTCCCTTGTTACTGCTTCTTTATCTCTAATGCCTTAAGTCAATAAAGATAGTAGAAAGAGAACTGGAGTATGCTTATAAAAAGCCTATAGCTTAGACAGAAATGCCTTGTCTTCCCGAAGCTGAATCTCTTATCTCTCTGGAGATAGAGAAGGGTAGGAATTTTTCCCAATTTCTTGCTATATTTGTTTTTAGTCTGAAAATCTGTGTAGTGCTGGTGTTATATGTACTGCCTGAATAACGTTAACCTTTTTTAATGTTGCAGACTCCATCCTGTGAAGCCGATGAATGCCACAGCAAATAGCTCTCAAAGTAAAAACCTGAATGTCATCAGCACTATGAACGAAAAGCTGCTCGAGATGAACGTGAAGGTATGGAGGAAAGTGGCGCTTTAAACCAAAGCTTAAGCAGTAAATTGAACGGAGTTTGTGTATTCAAGATAGTTTGCCTGGGCTCATATCTCGTATATCCTGAGCAGAAAAAGAACAGTGGTTATTAGACTGTGGGGGGCATGAACTTTCTTTTTGTCAGTCCCCAAAGGTGGGGACAGTCTTGAAATATTTTTTTTTTTCTTGTAAACTGATCTATAATAGAATTGGTGTCTCTTGTTTGCGGAGGGGATCCTCAGTGGAGAGGAGTGCGGGGTGCTGTCTGACTCCCCAGAGGTGAGCGGGATGCGTGTGAGCCATGAGGTGGCTGCGACAGGAACAACGGGTGACTTGCAGGTGGTGCTACCCCTGGGAGATGGTCCCGTTGGTGCGACAGGAACAACGGGTGACTTGCGGGTGGTGCTACCCCTGGGAGATGGTCCTGTTGGTGAGGTGTGGGAGCTGCGTAACTTGGATCTGCACCAAAGATTGGACAAATTAGTTACTGTTTATTGTCAGACGTGATGAGTCCCCAAAGCTCGTTTTCTTCCTGAAATAAGTATGCGGCTCTTAAAGCTGAGAAGGTGGGAAAAGTAACCTCAGGGTGGCTGGTGCCTTGTCATGTGTTGCATTAATATCCTGTGCAGATTGAGAGGCCAGGCACCTGCTGTTAAAGCACAGCTGCTTCCTAAAAGTGTAGCTGTGCAGCTTGCATAATCACTCAGATTTAAAGGAGTTTTTTGCATAATCTTGCCCTCAAAAGAGACCTCCAGGCTTGAGGCATAGCTTAAAAGTCGTGTGGATCAGAACGGCTAGAAGCGTCTCTGCGTCAGAAGGGAAAAACCCTGGGTACCGTTATTGTCTCTAAGGGTTTTTTGGGGAAAATGGAAAGTTAGCACCAAAATAACTGCAGTGCCTCCTTCTGGTGTAAGTGGGAAAGACACAAATGCGAGTTAAATGATTCAAACTGACGTGTTGCTATTTTGAATGAGTTGAAAACGTGTAATTAGTATTCTGGTGTGGCGTTTTTATTCCACGTAAGAAGTTATGCTTGATGTGGTCACACGAGCCTGTTGTATGCATACTCCCTGCGAAAAAAAAGCCTGGGCTGGCACTTTGGTTTAGCGTCTGAGAAGGTAGCTGGAGGAATTGGCAGAAGCTGCTAAGTACCTGTCAAGTTTGCTTAAAGGTTAAAAGCAGACTTTTTGGAGAAGCCAAAAAGTTTTCACAGCGATAACTACAATAAGAGGGAAATGCCAAAGGCCTCGGTGGGTGTTTCTTGCTGTTGAACCTGAATTTGGCTTTCCTGGTCTTTGTGTGGTTTAAACAATAGCTGTCCCAGTGCTCGTCTGTAAACGATGGGAGTTGATGGTGCATGGCTGTAACTTCCACGCGTCTTCGCTAAGCTAGATGGGCTGCTGCCTGGAGTCGGCGTGACATTCTTTCAGCATAAATCGGAGAAGAGTTGAATTACAGAGCTGACATCATGCTAAGATTTTGTGCTAAAACCGATGGCCTGGTTACAGTCCATAACATCTGTCTTGCTCTGAGCCTGCCTTCTGTTCTGGAGAAGACTGCCTAAGCTCTATAAATTGTGTCGCTGTGCCCTAAGTAGCACACGCTTGCTCTGAGGCAGTTGCTCTTTTTTCCTCCAAATACTTTCAAAAAGCTATTCGGCATTCTTGGAAGTTCACGAGTAGATAGTGCTTTGTATGGATTTTTCCAGGCGAGGTTTGCCAATGGCTCGAAAGGTGCTTCGTAGCAGAAAGCTTGGCTGGCCCGCCAGCCTCTCTGCTGCTGTTAGCGCCTTGGCCGTTGCGCAGCTTGGCCCTGGGCAGCCTGCTGCTCTTGATCCTAAAGTGCTAATGATTGATGGTCCCAAATGTCGTTTGGATAGAACTTATTTTTAAAAAGATACAAAGCACAGTAATACTTTTGAAGAGCAGCTGTGGTTCTGCAAACACCGTGTGTAAAGTTGTTCGTTGGCTCTTTAAATCCCACAAGGCAGCTACCAGATATCATTCTCTTGCTATTTTGAAATGCCCGTATGTCTGTAATGACCCTGCCTTTCTTCTCTCTCGAAGAAATATGATCCTTCAGATCCTGCCTATGCTTATGCTCAGCTAACGCATGATGAGCTGATCCAGCTGGTCTTGAAACAGAAGGATACAATTACCAAGAAAGATCTCCAGGTGCGTGAGCTTGAAGACTACATCGATAACTTGCTTGTCAGAGTCATGGAAGAAACCCCAAACATTCTTCGTGTTTCAACGTCTGGAAACAAAAAAGCTGGAAAGATGTAAAAGGTCTCGGGACGTGGATTGAACAAAGGACTGAATTCCCGCCAGTGGAGTTTGATTAATAAGGAGACGATGTGAAGTAGGTGGTACCGGTTGTGCTGCCCACAGAAAATGACCTCTTTCCTGTTTCTGCCTTGAGCAACTCTCAGTTTGATTAGTAGTTACATCAGGTCTTGTATATGGAGTCCAGAAGTGGAGTCAATTATTTATTTTTTTGGTTTCTTTCCATTATTTGGGAAGATTGTTCAGGCGTCTAATCCAAAGGCTGATTGCGATAGGAAGGATGAAGGGTTTTTGATGTGTTTTGCTTGCCAGCAAGGCACTGATGATCCTTTTATGAAGTTTTTTTTTTTAATGGTTTTGTTTCGTAGCAGCTTTGATAGATCAATTACTCTTCTTTCCATATCTTAAGTTGTAGTGCAATATAAAATCTTGTACCATAGAGCTTGAGGATTTGATTGTTTTTAAAAAAAAATATTGCTAACTACACTGGAGAAGTCCAAAGATACGTGCTTCAGACCAGGGCTGTGTGGGCTGTGTTTTAAAAGTAATTAATGCCCTAAAAGTTCAATGCAAGTTAAACCTTAGATTGGAAAGGAAGAAGCAAAGCTTAGTTAATCTCGTAAAGTACATATTGTTTCAAAGCAGTTCTCCGAGGGGAAGGTTTACAGGTTTTTTTGGTATAGGAAACATTGAGATGTCATGGTACGTTTGTCTACCATAGGAATGGTAGTAATGAATTTGGGCCAAAGGTGCATTTTAGATCAGAAGCTGTTCTCTTACAGACTTCAAATTCCCGATTGGAAGGTTGTTCAAATGAAGGAGGCAAAGGTATGCCTGGTTTCTGTTCTGTAGTCTTAAATAGGTGTGGATTTCACAGTACACATGCATGGCCCGTGTCTCTTGCTGTATGGGAGTTCTGTGATGATTCTTCTTTTATACCATTGCAGTTTATTGAATTTGAATACCTTCGATTTTGGAGCTGGGGCTTACCTTGGAATGACCTTCAAAGGTGATCAGTCTTACAGTGCTTTCTTTCGTGCATTCCTTATACAGCCAAGAGAGGAACCAAATCGCCCTCCCCTGGGGATGGGAGCAGTGACGACACTAGTGCTCGAATCTGATTTGGTTTTCTTTGTCACTTGCTGCTCAGAATGGAACGACAATTTTACGTAGCTGAGAAAGAGTGCTGGTTTTGCTAGACAATCGATACCTCTCAGTCTGCTTCCTTAATGTGTGGCTGCTTTGCAGCTCGATAGAGACAGGTATGGTCTCCTCCCCATCTCATCGGATGGCAAATAACAAGCATAGCGCTAGCGAGCAGCCACCACAACAGGCTTCCTCCACTGAAAAACCACATGTGGCTTTTTTTTTTTGGCGAGCCCTTGTCAAAGATCAAAAAAATCAGATGCCTCTTTGCATCTCTGGGATTTATCAGGGTTGCGAGAGTCCATAAAAGGCTTAGAAGAAAGTTGAAATACCAAGAGTGGGTAGCAGAGGACCAAAGCGAACGCTCCTACCTTTGGAATTTGAAAGGGTCTATTGGGTCACTCCTGGCTTAGCTCGAAGGGGTGAGTTTCTCACTCAGTTTTTCTACAGCAAAGCACTTTACTGAGGGACTAGACTAGCTGGATCAACTATCAACCTGTTAGTAGTCTGCTTACTATTTTCATAAAACACTGAAAACTACTGGAGGCTTCTCAAATACTGTATTTTTGTAGGAAAGAGTAGTTTAATATATTTGCCTAGAGATGTATTGGAAAATTCAAAAAATGCTGTTAATTACATTTTTATTACTGTAAACTGAGTAACTACCAAAGTCTGGAGCTTTTCTGACAGAGCTCTCCTTCACGGGGAGCTTGAGTTGAAACAAGCCTTAAACGTTAAGAGTCTTCTAAGACTTCAGGTACTTTTTTCTAATTTTATTTCTATTTGGAGCAGATGTTTTCAGTGAAGGGGTTATTTCTTTTCTGCTGTACCCTCTTCTGTGAATGAAGGGTCTGAAACACAGAAGGTTTTAGCGGCATCTTCAGCTCTTGGCTGGTGGTTTTAATTTTGCGTGGTACCGCTTGGCCTTACTGAAAACTGCTGCTGCTTCTCGTGCCTTGAAATAGCGAGGAAGCTGAAGGATTAATTTGTTTCCTCCTTGTGCCTCTGTGGATCTCTGGAAAGAAACGGTTGCCTATACCTCACTAATAAACTTATCTAGCCTTTATTCCACAGCTTTCTGGTGTTCTAGGTCAGAGAGTCAGAAAAACCGATTGTGCCTTTGAACGGTGACTTAACGGTTCAAAAATCAAAAACGGTATTATCGGTAGTCATAACTGGACACGCGGGAAGCAAGACTGGACTCTGGCTTTTTGCTGGCCTCATTTTAAAACAACATGGGTACTACTGAGTCACTGGCTGCTGGAGGCACCAGGGTGCTGCGTGCGATGCTTTTGGGGTACGGATTTTAGGAAGTTTGGATCACCTGCGTTCCTGTTGGCAAAAATGTGCTTCTTGAAGTTAGATGCACAGAAACAAAGCGGTGATACAGGCTCTTAGCGGTCTCCTTAGGGATGAAGCCTTAAAACTTGTAATATCCCCTCCTGGCAGCCTTTTCTGCCAGTTACAGCCGTGTCCGTTGAGGTGGACCCCGGGTTGTGTCTGGCTTTTGCCCCGAGGGTTGTTCTCTCCGGTTGTTGCAGGTGTTGAGCCTCCTGCCAGAGCAGCACGGGCGCTGCTGCGGGGTCACGGTCCTGCACCAGCTGCGCTTCAACTTCCGTGGCCGTGAAAGCATCGCACAAGCCTTGTACCTCAGTCTTTTATTGGCAGTACTAGTTAAAGCCTTTCTTCGGCATAAGGTGACTGGCATTTTATGTCCAGCAAGGTGCTTCACCTTAAGGGCCTTAAGAGTCAAATGTATTGTTTTATTATTGAAAGATCTGAATGTATTTTTGCCTGTTTATACTCTCTGCTTTTAGCCTGGGTACCTATTTGTTTTTAAATACCTTTTGGTTTCATGGAACACTAAAATAAAAATACCTTAAATCCAGCGTTCTGATCACTTTGTCTTTTTTTTCTGAAAGAGCAGTTTCAAAAGGGCCTCATCCCTTCCTCGTGACCAGCTCTGCTGCCCAAAACTCCTCATCCTCAAGGTATTTTTGGGCTAGTTCCATCCCTGCAAGGTACCCGTGCAGGAAGTTCATGATAAACACCTCGCAGGGTGGGGAAACCTGATGGACGAGCTCATCCGCGTCACGAGAATCAAGAGTTTCTGTAAAGAAAAAAAAAAAAATGTGTGAGAGGTTCTTGGCCAGGAGCCTGGTAAGTGACCCCCGGCACAGCACTGGTCCCTCGGCCCCTGATTGTAATGGCCCTTAAATTGTGGGCAGCGGATGAAAAGAGAGGAAATCAGCCTCCTGCTGTCTTGGGGCCATTTAGCCCGAAACCCATCTGCGCTGCAGGAGCCCTGAGTGCTGTCATCACCCTTATCCTCTGCTGGTAATGAAAGGCGAATGGGGGGGCCACCCAGAGCCCCCCAGCACACTGGGCTCTGGGAGGGACAGCTCTGACGGGGACGAGTACCTGCGGCTGATGAGTCTCCCCAGGGGAAGGTTTTTATGATTTTGCAGTTCCCCGCTGAGCGAGGGAGCGTGTTGTCCCCTCGGTTTGTCCCCTCGGTCCCTCTCCCCTCCGCGGGTGCCCG